AACTTGTAATTAATATGATATTAGAAATAGTTTAAAGAGAACCAGTTTTCAGGTGATGCTAAGAAATCGATGTGGATATGGGGCAATCTAAAAGAGTTATGAAGCAGAGGACTAGCCAATCCAGATGGCACCTTCATCATCCATTTTCACCTCAAATAAATAACATAACAAGCATCAATTATTCACGTTGGCACCATTATCTCAGAAAGACATTGAAGAACAAGCGAACATAGATTTCAGCATTGTTGAGCCTTCAGTTAGTACATGAAGTTTTATCTTTAATAAAAAAAAACACTCAGTACCAAAATGCGTTCACAAAAGAAGCAATATCATCATTTTATTACAAATTCTCCCGAAACATGACTGCATAATGGAAATCCACGCACAGATAATTTTTTTCCATTTTCTAAATCCCTACAACATATATAATATAGGTTCAAAATACAAATCAAACAATTAATTGACGCAATTAAGATCAGCAAGTTGGCAGAAGCAAGGAGGCAATCTCAAACTATATCAAGATTCAAAATGTAGAATCTACCAAATTGGGCTGAAATGTAAAGCAAAATTTTGCATTCTCGACATCCAAAATGATGAAATTATACAAAAGGATCGAGACTTTGAGCATCAAATGTTCATAACCGACGTTCATACCCGTGTAAAAAACGAAAAGAATGATCAAAAGCTTCATGTTTCGAAAAAGAGGTAACAGTTACTAGCTCTTTGTCAAAATATTGAAACCATGATGGCAGAAACTCCAGTTCAGAGGCTGCATGCACATGCCAAATTAGTCTGTCAGAAACTTATAATATTATTTAGGACGTGAAAGTTAGATAACACTAGATCAACATACATATAGTAGTGAAAATTATAATACATTTCTATATCCATTCAACAAGAAGAGAAAATGTAATCACTTTCCAGAAAATCAATGGCTTCCTCCATCTCGGTCCGGTAAGCACGGGTAGAAATGCGGCGTTGCCTGAAAATCTGTAACAAGAAAGTAATTAATACCCGAGTAAGACATAAAATGGATAACGCATTTTTTGCGTATAATGTTTAAACCACATAATTACCTCAACCATTGAACTGAAAATGGTTGTTGGCCGAAGGAAAAAAACTTTGTTGTGTGAATGTAACACTTTCGTGGTCACCCTACATAAATGAATTTCATATTGTGATAAATATTTTCTTTTTGAGATAACTTCGTCTTATATATGTACTAACCATTAAAAGTTGCGAATATGTTAATGGTGGTGCATTCATGCAATGTTGTGACTGTTCATGTACTGGAACGTCGTTTGCCTCGACGCCAACATTACTTGGCTGGGACTTCGACCTATTTCCTTTGGATGTACTCGAACGCCTCTGCATGACATCCAAACAAATTAGTTGCATTAGGCAAATAACTCAAACACAATTAGCTTTAATGTTAACGTTAAATATACCTTTCCCTTATTCGAACTAGATTCTAACGGGCTCTTCTTACGAAGTTTCTTTGGTGCGCCTTTCTTTTCACACATTTAGGATCACATCATCCACTGGTGATAGTTTCTAATGATGGTCCACATTGCGATGCTATTGGTGCACCATGCGGAGATAGGATATTACTCACAACATTGGATTTCGATGTCGTTACCAGTTCACATTCATGGTCGATCCATTTTTGTAAGTTTTCTGGTTTGCTTTCATCATCTGCAACTAGGTCGGCTAATGTAGCAAAAGATTGACACAATTTGTCGTACCTCAACTGCCCCGGTGTAGTAATCAACCCATCGTAGTTAACTACGACCCTCATATGGACTCTACTCACATCTCTCCGCCACCTTCGTAATATATACTTGTCCGGTATTTGTTTAGCGCCATTACGGATCAATACTGCAATCATATGCCTATATATTATTCCTCGAAACTCAAATAAATGGCAACTACGAACAATGTCACAATCATCTTTCTGGAAAGAGACGAAGAACATTTTTTTCTTCGATCACTCATCGTTTGTCTCTTCCTCGCATACCTCATATGGTGTAAACGGCTTGAAATTGCTTTTCCATTTCATACCTTGTTGCACATGGTACCATCTGTGAGAAAGACCTGAAATCTGCTTGAATTTCCTTCTCGACTTTACTTCGCAAAGCCCGTTCATATTGGTTGATGAATTGCTTTAATGAGGTCTTCGAATGCACATACCCATCAAAGAACGCATTCATACTCTCACTGCGTTGCGTTGTCGACATACTTGCCCAGAAACTGGTTTTGAAAAAGCACGGAACCCACCGACATCTATTTTCATACAATCCCAACAACCAGGTGTTTTCATGCAAATCATATGTATCGATCATTACCCTCCACCCCTCTTCAAAGTCTGGAACAAATTGTGAATCGTAAACCAAATTGTGAATAGTATAGAAAATAGAACCTTTATCGACGTGGTATCCAAACTTTTCTGACAACTTTTTCAATATGTGCCACAAACACTACCTATGCTTCGTATAAGAGAATACGATTTCAATTGCATTTTGCATAGCTCGGTCTTGATCAGTAATTATACCCTGAGGTGCTTCGCCATGCATATACTGCAGCCATGTCCTAAACAACTAAACAAATGTATCCGTATCTTCATTTGAGACCAACCCACATCAAGCAGGGTCGATTGCCCGTGATGATTAATACCAACAAATGGGGCAAACGGCATGTCATACTTATTGGTGAGATACGTGGTATCAAATGTTACAACATCACCAAACTCCTTATAAGCCTATCTATTCCTATTATCTCCTAAAACACGTTCTTTAGTCTCGAATCTTCATCCAAATCCACACTAAAATAAAACTCGGAGCAACTAGCTTGCATCTTTGAAAAGTAAGATTGTATTGCTACGACATCTCCTTCTCCAAGTCTAAGACGCCGAATTTGTTCAACATAATTTCGACAATCCTTTTCTACGCACATCATATTTTCGTATCCACCTGCTTCGACTACTGCCGAGTTGAAACTTTTGTGTAATGGAATTCCTGCCATATCATTCACTTCTAGCCGCCGTTTAACATGTTCGCTCAACTCTCGATTACATCGATATAGCCTGGATTTTGATGGACTTGTCTTATGATTATGCTCGAAGTTTACCGTGTTAATTCTCCATAGACCACGACTATCCATAGATACAGTCAGCCTCGCTTTACAACCTGTTTGAATGGTTGGTTGTGGTTTTAAAGAACCGCTTGTAGTACTGTTTCTTTTTCCCTCGCGACTACATGTCAATGTAACATATCTTACAACACCGTCATCATCCTTTTTTGAGTTCCTTTTTTTGACTGGAAACCCTTCGGCGTATGCATATTTTTTGTAGTAATCAAACAATTCATTTTTGTCATTAAATTTCATACCAACCTCGAGTGCTTGTAAAGATGCATCATCTCTTGCTACGCTGTCATCACCCAATAAGTTCACATTCTCGGC